ACGCAGGCCACCTGTGTCATTCCCAGCCCCTGAAGCCCAGGAGACCCTCGGGGCCAGTCGCTGCCCGGGCCACCTACACTGCACAGGACTGCAGAGGTCTCTGGAAAGTTCTTCCCCACCCTGACGCAAGGCAAACCCGGTCCTGTGGTGACACTGCCCCCTGCTGGCCACGCAGCTACCAACACGGCTTCTGGAGGATGGGGTAAATTTCTGAGATGTCAAGTCATGGTTTCCACCCCCACCGCTTCTGCATTTTCCACCGTGGGACAGTGAAAACACAGGGGCTGGAAACATCAGAGGTGACAGAGAGGGCCCACCCAGGCCTCCAGCGGAGCCCCCAGCAAGCCAGACGCGGTCCTGCTGTTCTGCTCCCAAGCCCACGTGCTGGCCTCCCCCCTGCCTCCCCTCCTCATCACCTGCGCCCTCATCCACTCCCGGGGCAGGGTGGCCTCACCGAGGGAGCATGGCACCTCTTGCTCCATGCAGATGCAGACATGCTGTGGGAACCCCTCCACCCCAGAGGCTAAAGTGAGCACCAGGATGAACACCCATCTGTCATCGTGGAGGTGGTCCCACTCCTTCCACACACACACCGTCTGTGACTGACAGGCGAGGCCACACATCCTGAATCTAGGTGCTGCTGAGAACGTGTCTGTGGATGTGGCGAAGGCCCAGCACCAGCTGACTTTATGTGAGGCTTCCCTGAGGAGGAAGACGTGCGGCCTGTGGTCAACAGCCTTGGCCTGTGCCCTTCCTGATGGCGGGCCCTGTGGAATCCACACTCACCTAGCCTCCTGCTGCTGGACCACGGCCACAGAGGCCCTGGCATGCACTTGCTGCTCCTCTCCAGCCCTGTCTGCACCTGGACATTCGGGGTCAGAGCAGGCCCAGCAAGCCTCTACTCCCCTGCATGGAGTGTGCTGGCATCCCCCACCTGGCACGCGACACTCTCTCCAAAACCACCAGGTACACAGAAAACCCACGAATGTGGTGGAGCTCCATGAGAAGAGGGACTGTGAGGGCCCGGCACTGTGCCTGGCACGGGGAGTTCTCCATCAGCAGAATCAACAGCTGAAGGCGCTCTGTTTCAGGCCTAACAGCCCCAGGTCCCCTCACTGCCCAGCCCCAGGCCCCCAGGGGCAAACCGCAGGGTGGGGGCACCGACGGCCTGGCCTGATGCCTCCCTTATCAGGGTCTTGGGCTCGCTGGTACTGCCCACCCTTCTCGGCCCCTTTACGGGCTTCCCAGTCCTGCCTTGAGAAGGGCCAAAGAGAAATCTGGAAATGCGAAAAAATTATCTGTTTACATTAACACTTCCAAAATTTTGGTGCTTATGGGACAGATCTATTTTCAGGTAAATTTCTTTTGAAACGTGAAGCCATGTAGAATAACATCAAAATATTCATGTGTTAGGGAACCAGGTTACATATTAGCACTGAAATCAATCACTTCAGAACAAAAAGAAGCAAACATATCTCTTATTGTAACAGACATCCAACAATCAAAGTCAATAAGGAAAGACTACTAGCTGTTAGAAAAATCACAATAACACAGACATAAGATCACCTATGGGAAAATAAGGTATTTTATGACTTTGGGATTCTTAAGATGGGTGCAGAAACAAACTTAAGGGGAATTTACCCAATTAAGGATTTCTGTAATGGAGAATGACAGTCTGGCAGAGGTGGTAGCTTCTAAAGCCAACAGGGATGCATACCTACAACATGGACTAAACAAACAGCACAGCAGAATAAAAAAACAAAAACCACAGAATAGGCAATCCACAGAGAAACATGTGAAGCCCAAAAGCAAATAAGGAGCATCAGATGCTCCACGTCACAATCAATCAGACATGAAAATAAAGACACCAGCAAGATGCCACTGGATACCATCAGGACGGCAAATCTGAGAAGTCAGATGACCCCAGGCTGCTGTGGGCAAGGCTGGGGCTGGGCCTGCAACCTGGGACCCTTGCGACCCCTGGCCATGCCAGCTCCGTGCTCCCCAGAGACACTCGGAGGACAGCACGCCTAACCAACAGTGGAGGCCTGCAAACCCACAAAAACTATGCTGCAGTTTTCAGAGATTCTGATTCCTAAACATGTCCCTGGAAGGCGGGCTGGGATGACCCAGACTGATGCCAAGGTCAGGGGTGGAGGGACTGGACACCCACCAGGGTGGGCAGCTAGGTGCCCTGAGTCACACAGAGGAAAGGGGGAATCGCCTACCGTGGAGCCTTCCTCTGTTCTGAAAGTGCCACCGAGCCTTGCTGAGCTCAGAGGAAACCCACACAGCCCTCCAGTGTGTGATACACCCGTGCTCCGGGACTCACACAGTCTGAGGTCGCAGGTATTGAGGAAAACGGTCTGAAGTGTTCTCATTTACAAACAAACGGACAGTCTGCACTGGTGCACAGAACCAGCAGATGCTATCAGCGACGCAGCCCGTTAACGGTGTACCACAGGCCGCGCCCCTGGAGACCGACGCGCACTCACCCACCTGCCAGACATAGCAGCCCTTCTCTGCTGGGGAAGACGTGCTGGCACTTCCGGGTGTCAAGCCACCTTCTAACAACTCCATCTTCTTGCTGAACTGCACCTCCAAAATGGGGACAGCCTCGGGCATCTTGGTGGATATCAGGCGATAAGCTATGTCCGGCTTCCCGATGAACCGTTGTAGGATGCTAATTTCAAAAGGTGTGTGAACCTTAATGTCATCTATATCTTCTCTTTCAAATCTGTGCATGAGCAAAGAACTCGAGTCATGGATTTCCAACCCGGACACAAGGATGGTAAGACTTCCTGCTTTAACATGAGATGCTGTTCCCTGGGAGATAACAGCAGGAGTTTGGACCACTACCCCTTCTTTTCCAAGAGCTTTGGGACTAGCCATTGAGGTGCCCCCCTTGGACGTTGTTTCTGCTGGCATCTTCCAAAGCTTGGAGCTAAAGGGCCACCAAGAAGGGGACTCCAGCTCCGTCAGCAACCTAAAAGACCAAACAAAACACAGAAACACAGTCAACTGAGTTTTAATGTTTTCTTGAAAACTGTTAACCATTTTGTAGTGTTCTTTTCCACAAGCACTCTGTGAAGCGGAAGAGCAGGAATTACTATCCGTGTGTTTTAGAAAAGAAAACTGAGGCTAAGAGCAGGATCTCATAGGCCTTCGGACACAAAGCCCATCAGTAGTAAACACAAAACATGAACACAGGTCTTCTGACTAGAACGATGCCCTTTTCACTTTGGACCCTGGGTAATTCTGACTCAAAATAAATCCTGACCTCAATCTGGAACTTTCTGCAGTAATCTCTCCTTTCCAATGTGGTAACAAGCATGTGTGGCTACTGGGCATCCAGAGTGTGGCTGATATAATGAGGGACTGAATTTTCAACTTAAGTACAGGTGGCTAGTGGCTACCACAGTGGATGGCACCAGTGTAAAATACCCACGAATACAAAGAGATCTACCTCGTAGCAAAAGAAAAAAAGGAAACAGGAAAAGAAAAGCAAAGGAACAAAGATCAAATGGTATCGACAGAAAATAAATATCAAGATGGTGGATAGACTCAACCATATTAGTAATTATACTAAATGTAAATAGACTAAATCCTCTAATTTAAAGGCAGACTCTCAGTCTGGATTAAAGAAAAAACCACCAAGACACAGCTATGTCTTATTTATAAGAGACACTGAAATATAAGGACACAGAAACATCAAAAGCAAAGGGACTAGAAAAAGACATATTGTGCCGAAAATAAACTCTAAGACAGGGAGTGTTACCAGGGATAAAGACAGACAATAAATAATAATAAGAGAGTCAATTTGACAAAAAGACTTAATAATAAACATGTATATCTAACACAATTTCAAAATTCATTAAGTAAAAATTAACAAAACTAAAAGGAGTAATAGACAATCACAGTTGTAGATTTCAACAAATTTCTCTCCATAATTAACACAGCAAGAAGACAAAAATGATGAGTAAGAATATAAACACTATTTAATCCACTCAGGCTGACTGGTATTTATGGAAACATCATCCAACCGCTGAATACACACCCTTTTAAAGTATATTCAAAACTTTAAGAAAAGAGTATAACACGTCTCAATAAATTTCAAGTATACCATTTGTCCCCAAAGAAATGCAATCTGAAATTAAAGACAAAAGACTAATAGAAAGTCCTCAAATATTTGGAGATTAAGCACAATTCTAAATAAAGGGAATTGGACAATATCTGAAGTGAATGAAACAAAACAATATGCAGGAAATGGCAGGATGCAAATAGAGCAGTCACGAGGAAAATTTATAGTTCTCAATGCATGTATTTGAAAACTTCTCAGAAAGGTTTATAATCAGTGATTTAAGCTTCTGTTGCGAAAAGTTATAAATTAAACCCAGAGTAGAAGAATGGAAAAGCAGAAATCAATGAAACTGAAAACAGAAAAAAGAAAATATTAACAAAGCCAAAAGTTGGTTCTTTGAAGTAATTTTTAAAAATTAAACCCAAAAGTTGGTTCTTTGAAGTAATTTTTAAAAATTAAACCCTTACAAGACATGAACAAGAATAAAACAAAGAGGGGTGCCTGGGTGGTTCAGTCGGTTAAGCGTCTGCCTTTGGCTCAGGTCATGATCCCACGGTCCTGGGATCCCCCGCATCAGGCTCCCTGCTCTGTGGGGAGGCTGCTTCTCCCTCTCCCTCTCCTGCTCCCCCTGCTTGTGCCCTCTCGCTCTCTGTCAAATAAATAAATAAAATCTAAAAAAAAAAAGAATAAAGCAAAGAAAATGCACATTACCAATATCAGGAATAAAAAGGGAGGCATCACCATAGATCCTTTTAGCCCTGGAAAGCCTTCTAGGGGATATCATACCCAACTTTACACCAATAAATGGGACAACTTATATGAAATAGACAAAATAATCAAAACACCCAACCTTCCAAAACTGAAGCAAGAAGTAGTTTAAGAATATGAACACCCATAACAAAGTGGCAGCAAGAGAAATTTAGAAAAAAAATCACATTTACGAATGTACCAAAAATAATAAAATACCTTAGGGATAAATTTAACCAAGGAAATGAAAGACTTGTACTCTGAAAACTATCAGACCTTGATTAAAAACAAACAAACAAACAAACAAACTAAAGATGACACAAGCAAATGGAAATACGTACTATGCTCACGGACTGGAATAATTAATACTGTGAAAATGTCTATAATTCCCAAAGCAATCAACAGATTTAACGCAATCCCTATCAAAATACCAAGAGCATTTTCCACAGAACTAGAAAAATACTAAAATTTGTATGGAACCACAAAAGACCTCAACTAGCCAAGGTGATCTTGAGAAAGAAGAACAAAGCTGGAGGTAGAGGTATCAGAATCACAGATTTCAGGATATACTACCAAATTGTAGTAATCATAACAGTACACAGTACTGACACAAAAGCAGACACACCGATCAAAGGAATACAACAGAGAGCCCAGAAATACACCCACACTTACACTGTCAATTAATCTATGACGAAGGAGGCAAGAATATACAACAGGGAAAGGACAGTCTCTTTAAAAAATGGTGGTGTGAAAACTAGATAGCCACATGCAAAAGAATGAAATAGGACTCTTTCTTACACCATACACAAAAATTAGCTCAACTGGATCAATGGATTAAATGTGAGACTTGAATCCATAAAACTCCTAAAAGAAAACATATACAGTAAAATTGCCTTGACATCCGCCTTGGTAACATATTTATGGATATGTCTCTTTAGGCAATGGAAAGAAAAGTGAAAACAAACTGTTGGGACTACATCAAAATAAAAAGCTTCTGCACAGCAAAGGAAATCACTGACAAAACAAAAAGGCAATCTACTGAATGGGAAAATTTATTGGCAAATGATACATCTGATAAGAGGTTAATATCCAAAATATATAAAGAACTTATACAATTCATCACCAAAACAAATGAACAATCCAATTAAAAAATGGGCAGAGGATCTGAATAGGCCTTTTCCCAAAGAACACATCCATGTGGCCAAAAGACACATGAAAAGATCTCAACATCACTCATCATCAGGGAAATACAAATGAAAACCACATTGAGATATCACCTCACACCGGTCTGAATGGCTAAAATTAACAACACAGGAGACAACAGGTGTTGGTGAGGATGCAGAGAAAGGTGAACCCTCTTGCACTGTTGATGGGAATACAAACTGGTACAGCCACTCTGGAAAACAGTAAGGAGGTTCCTCAAAAATTAAAAACAGAATTACCATATGATCCAGTAATTCCACTACTGGGTATTTACCCAAAGAAAATAAAAACACTAGTGATAAAGATATCTATACCCCTATCTCTACTGCAGCATTATTTACAATATCCAAAATACGGAGGTAACCCAAGGGTCTCCCTAGATGGATAATGAAGATGTGACACACACACACACACACACACACACACACACACACACACACACAGTGGAATATTACTCAGCCACAAAAAAAGAATGAAGTCTTGCCTTTTGCAAGCATGTGGATGGAGCTAGCTAGAGGGTATTAATGCTAAGTGAAATAAGAGAGAGAAAGACAAACACTACATGACTTCACTTATATGTAGAACCTAAAAAACTAAGCAAACGAACAAACAAAAAGCAGAAACAGACCCATAAATACAGAGAACTGATGGCTGCCAGAGGGGAGAGGGTTGGGGGAGGGGCAAAATGGATGAAGGGGAGTGGGTGATACAGGCTTCCAGTATGGAACAAATAAATCATGGAGAGAAAAGGTACAGCATAGGGAATATGGTCAATGGTATTGTAATACCAACACAGATGGAAGCTACACTTGTGGTGAGTATAACATTAATTTGTCAAATCACTATGTTGTACATCTGAAATTAACAGAGCATTGTGTATCAACTATACTTCGACTAAAAAAGGGGGGGCATGGATGTCCACCCTCAGGTGGCTATACTGTGGTGTGCTTTCCCCAACTGGAGCAGTGTCAGAAAAAGTACGTGAGGAGCCTCGACATCCACCCTTACCTGGCTGCAGTAGGACTCCTTCCCCTAAGTGGGATGGTGGTAGGGAAGGCCACATGAAGAGCCATCAGTAACAAGGGAAACCTTACTGGCTCAGTGGAGGGGGACGGTAACAAGACCCCCCAATTCTCCCAGCTAGGGCACAGTTATGAGGAAGCTTGAAATCCCACTCCCAGCCGGCAGCAACAGGTATCTGTTCCTATCCCAAGGCACAAACAAGGGCCACGTGGGGAATTGGGGCTCTCATCCTCACACGGCAGCAAGAGGAATCAGCTTCCCTTCTCCTTCCCTTCTTTCTCTCTTTCCTTTAAGAGAGAAAGAGAGAGAGTGGGGGAGGGAGAGAGAGAATCTCAAGCAGTCTCATCGCCTAGCATGGAGCCCAACGTGGGGCTTCATCGCACCACCCTGAGATCATGGCCTGAGCCGAATTAAGAGTCAGATGGTTAACCCACTGAGCCACCCAGGCGCCCCAAGAGGAAATAGTTTCTTACTCCTGGAGCACCATGTCGGGGAAAGCTCTGCTAAAACAGAAAAACAAGATTCAGAATCTTAATACCCAAAATGTCCAGGATACAATGAAGAATCGCCATGCCAAGAAGCAGGAAAATCTCTTCTTAAATAAAAAATAGAAGCAAATGCCAAAACCAGGATGAAACTGATGGAATTACTGGACAAGAATTCTAAAGCACCATCATAAAAGTATTTCCACAAGCAATTATGGACATGCTGGAAATAAATTAAAAACCACAAAGTCTTAGCAGAGTAACAGAAGACACAGTAAAGTATCTGGAAATTTTTGAACTTAGAAATACAATAACCGATAAGAAAATGGGTAGACGTAGACTGCAGCCTGAGATGACAGATAAAAGAATCTGTGAAATTAAAGATCAAAGAACAGAAATTACCCAATCTGAACAACAGAGAGAAAATACTAAAAACAACAATGACAACAAACCCAAGGGTCCAAAACAAAAGACTGAACACTCATCACCACCACTCCAGCAGAAGAGAAAGAGTGTGGGGCTGGAAAAGGACTCAAACAAATAATGGCTGAACATTTCCCAAGTTAGGCAAAAAGACATAAATAAGCCCACAGAGTTAAAAAAAAAAAAACAACCTAATCAGACCCCCACAGCATAAAACCAAAGAAATTACCGTGAAGTTATGTTAAACAAAGAAAAGACCTTGACAGTGGCATGAGAGACCTCACCTACAGGAGAAAACCAATTTGAATGGCAGCGCACTTCTTGTCAGCAACCACGGAGCCAGAAAGAATGGTTTTGCGCCAAAGAATGGCGCAATGGTTTTCAGGGCTCAAAGAAAAGAACTGTCAGTTCAAAATTCCACAATGAGTGAAACTTTTCTTCAGGAATAAAGAAGAAATTGAGTTATTCTCGGAGGAAGAAAACCCACAAAGAAATTGCTGCCCTAAAAGAATGTCTTGAAGAAGTCGATGGATCAGAAAGGACCTGATAAGGGCAGGAATCCTAGAACATGAGGAAGGAGGGTAGAGAAACAGAAAGAGTACAAATATAGGGAAATAAAATGCACTTGCTTTTTTCTTTTGAGCTGGCTAAAATATGTATGGCACTTGAAGTAAAAATTACAAAATTGATGTGGTTCTCAAATAGGTAAATGAAGTTAAGATAATTAACTTACAGAGGATTATATGAATCTGGTAGGGTAAACAGACATAAAGACAGTGGTTAGGTTTCTACACACCGCTCAATTGGGTAAAATGTCAACACCAGGGGTGCCTGGGTGGCTCATCCATTAAGCGGCTGACTTTGGCTCAGGTCATGATCCCAGGGTCCTGGGATCAAGCCACGTATCGGGCTCCCTGCTCTGTGGGAAGCCTGCTTTTCCCTCCCCCACTCCCCTGCTTGTGTTCCCTCTCTCGCTGTGTCTCTCTGTCAAATAAATAGATAAAATCTTTAAAAAAATGTCAACACCAGCACACTGTGACCAATTATGCATATACAACGTAATACCTAGAGTGTCCGATGAAGAATGTATGTAAGGACTTACATTCACAACAGTGTAGGTAAGTCACAATGGAATTATGAAGTAATATTCAGGTAACCTACAGGAGGCAGGGGGGGAAAAAGAAATGACCAACAGAGGTAACAAGTAACACAAAAATTAAAACAGCAGATTTAAGTGTTTTTACACCACACTAATAATTACATTGCTAGGATGGCAAAACTGCTCCAGGTTCAGTCCAATTTCTATCAAAATCCCAGCTGGTTCTTGTGCAGAAACCGGCCAGTTAATCCTGAAATTCATATAGAAATGCAAGGGACCCAGAATAGCCAACAATCTTGAAAAAGAAGAATAAAGTTGGTTGACTCCCACTACCTGAGTGCAAAGCTTACTACAAAGCTATGGAAATGAAGATGGTGTCGTACTGCCATAGGGTCCACACGTGGATCAATGATAGAACTCAGTCTAGAAACAAGCCTTTACATGTAGGGTCAGCTGGTCTCCAACAAGGACAACAAGACAATTCAACGGGGAAACAATGAATTGAAATATTGCTGAGACCACTGGATATCCACTTAAAAAGAAAAGAAGTTGGGCCTATTTCTCATACCATGAACTGCAAGTGGATCACAGACCTAAACAGAGAGGCTAAAAAAGAGTTAACCTCTGTGACTTTGGATTTGGCAATGACTCAGATATGACACCAAAGGCAAATGATGAAAGAAAAACAGATACACGTTAAATCATTTAGGCCTGCATCCAGCCAGGTCTGGGCCACAGGCACGAGAGATGCAGTCAGGCCCTGGGATGCTGGTATCTGGAGGAGGAGTCGAGGGTGTGGCCACGAAGTGGGCCCGGGTGCACGTGTGCTATAGTCGTCTCCCACGGTCAGACCACATGCTCCAGGGAGGGAAATCTGCTTGGCAGTGTCTGAAGAAGGGAAACTGCAAAGCTCTGGAAAGCTCATTTTTTGAATATAAATGATCAATGTTGGATGCTGGATCAAGATCGGAGGAAGAAAAGGACATTTGGTATTGTTATGTTGAAACCACAATGAAAACTACAAAGGATTTTCTCTGGTCCCTTAAAACAGAGAAGCCAAAACAGGACACAGATGTTTTGCTATATCTGTTGGGTTGGACTAGTTTTTCCCACCATGAACATGGGAGAAACTGGATGAGTTCTGTTTTTGAATATATATATATATATATAGATAGATAGATATAGATATACATATAGATATAGATATAGATATAGATATATATTGAATATCTATATATATATATTACATAAGTAAATGAATCTCTTCCTCTAAGTTATTTTGAGAAGAAAAAATTAACTGAACAGTTATGAGCTGGGAGCAACATAATGTGTTTTGAGAATTGTTCTAAAGTACAAAAGTGGGGCACCTGGATGGTTCAGTCCATAGAGCATGTGGCTCTTGATTCCTGGGGTCATGAGTTCAAACTCTACATTTGGCACAGAGATTAGTGTAAAAAAAAATCTAAAGCACAAAAGTGGAAGGATTGTTATTTTCAAACTTGAATCTTCAACCAAATGACACAATTTGT